AAAAATAGTGTCAACTAATAAGGTGTAAAAATATTATGTGACAGATATATTACTGCTAAATTATGCTTAAGTACCATGAGTTAATAGTTTAGATATGAAGAAGTTAATAGATTAGTTGTCCTATTAGGTGGATTCGTGACAAACAAACATGATGAAAGATTGAGGATTAATTTATAAGAGGCAGGTATTAGTTTGGGTAGAATAAACAAACTTCAGAAAAATAAAATACTATACTCTTGTGCTAAAAAATGACTCAGTCTTCATATCAACATTACTTGTCATATTCCTTGAGTCACTTCTTTTCACGACAGATACTAAGGAGTACGAGTGAGTTATGTGAAAGTCAGGATAGTTCCTCTTTGAATAAGGAGAGAACAATAATCCAATGAAAAATCCAAATATGATGTCTCACTCGTGAACCACAAGCGTAGACTAATAACCAAAAATATGAAAAGTATAGGCTACCTGAAAGTCCACATTTATCCTTGAAAAAAATATATATATACTTCAAAGATAAAGACATTACTTGACAGTTCAACAATAACTTCAACTATGCGATATTGATTTATATGTTGAAATGACCATTGTTTGACTGTTAGTATATGAGTTAAATCCTAATATTTATTACTAATTGTGAGATTTTATTAGAAAGTATTTTTATATCTAAAATAAATTAAGAAATGAGTAGTTTAGGATTAGTCCTGCTATCAATATTGGTCCATAAACTAAATAACATAAATTTTTAGATTATCATGATATATTACCCGATTGATGGCTTGACTAGTTGTTCCTTGTTCAAACTCGAAGAATAAATCACACTGCAACCGGAAGATAGAAGAGAGAATGACTCACGTTAGAAATCTTTAAGAATAGTTTCTCCTCAAATGAAGAAAAAACAACAACCCAATAGAAAATCCAAACATGATGTCTCACTTATACATGGACGCTTTAGACGACTACAAGCATAGACTAATAAAAGAAAAATGTGAGAAGTATGGGCTACTGGAAAGTTCATATTTATCTTCAAAGATAAAGATATTACTTGACAAGCCCACGATAACTTCAACCATACAATACTTGTATTATCTGATTAGTACATTGAAATAATCATTGTTTGGCTATTAGCGTATGAGTTAAATCCCAATTTTTGTTATTAATTGTGGGATTTTATTAGAAAGAAATTTCATATCTAAGATGAATTAAGAAATAAGTTGTTTCGGATTAGTCTTGCTATCGATATTAGTCTATAAACTAAATAACATAAGTTTTTAGATTACATGCTATATTACCCTACTGATGTCTTAACTAAATTGTTCCTTATCCAAATCCGAATAAATCAGACTGTAACAAGAAGATAGAAGCAAGAACAACTCACGTGGAAGTCCGTAAGGATAGTTTTTCTTTGAACAAGGAGAGAATAGCAACTCGAAGGAAAATTCAAATATGATGCCTCACTTGTATATGGACAAATTAGACTACTGTAAGCGTAGACTAATAGGGGAAAATGTGGAAAGCATACGCTAGTTGAAAATCCATATTTAAATTCAACAGTTTCGTCCCAGTAAGAGCACGAAGCGGAGAGGAGAAGGTGAAGAGAGTTGCTGAGCTTGATGCTATGCGAAGGTTAGTAGAGCTATCGTTGGCTATTCTTGCAATTTCTTATATCATTAAACCAATTTGCTTTTTAAGGTGTTCTTAGATTAATGTCAAATAAGAAACATGTGCCCGTTCTTTGTCCCATGTATACAAGATTTCCCTTTCTTTCCCTCTGCCTCCGTTTGCTTCTTCCCATCCTGGCTGATCCATTAGAGACAACCTCCCTAACCTCGCAGATGCCATGGAGTTGTGTCCGAGGATTATTGATACCTTACAAATCATCAACCCCGCTTCACCAAAACAGTCTGTTTTCAGAGTTCCTTTTTTCAGGGTGAGCAGAGGAGGTCCTCTGCTCATTCTCTATAAGCCCTGGGTCACACTAGTCATCATCACTATACTATCAAACAGGTAAATATTATTTATAATAGAAACTGATATAAATTGATAATGTATACATATGCAGGCTGGGGATGCTTTTCCTGGGCTGCAGAAAATCTTTAAGATTTCAACACTACCATATTTGATCAAAATGGAAGTGCTCTGGTGTCACAGAAATCGACTTTTCCACTAATTAATTTTATGGTGTTATGGGTTCGTGTTATAAATATTGTCCATGTAGCCAACTTAAGTAAGCTTTGCTAACTGAACCTAACTCTCTTTTTCTACAGGTCGGTAACATCTGGACGTTGGTGTTCGAGTGAGGGAAGAGAAGGGATGGGGTTAGCAGAGGTGCTGTTCTTACTATTTATGACATTGGGACCAATGGGTTCAACAGGAGACGAAAACACATCCACAAACATAACTTTTCCCCTCCCTCCCAACTGCCCAAAAAGCTGTGGTAACATCAGCTTCGAGTACCCTTTCGGTATAGGCAGCGGCTGCTTTCGTTCAGGTTTTAACCTTACCTGCATGAGCCATTCCACTGATCCTCCTACTCGTAGCCTCTTCTTGGGCGATGGCACCGTTGAGGTCATTGATTTTGATATGGACAATGGAATCGTGTACGTGAAAACTCCAATTGTCACCATGGATGTCGACGAGGACTATGTCAATTACACATTGATTGATCTGAGGAATTTCCCCTTCTCTTTTAACTTGTTGGCAAACCTTACATCCAGTTACGGTGATTCATTGACATCTAACGAGATTTATGTCGCTGGTTGCAGCGCTAATGCAAATCTAGTTGATCTTGCAACCAATACCACCATCGATTCTTGCTCAACAACCTGTTATCCCAATAGTTCGACTCGACATGAATACTGTACAATTTCCATGTATAATTGGAATGCTGGCAATTTCACTTCCTTGGGGATTCGGTTAACTCGGCTCGACGAGCATTATTCGTTTGACGCCTCCCCCGTTAAGGCTTTTATGTATTGTCAAAATAATTTCACTGAGGATATCGAAGGAATATTGATTGGGACGGGAACACAAGTGATAGTGGCCACCCTTGCGTATTATATTACCGACCAAACAACATGTAAAGAGGCTAAGAAGGATATGATGACTTATGCTTGCCGCAGTTATAATAGTGATTGCTTCGATATCTTTCCTAGTGTAGCTCACATAAATTACACTATTGGATACATTTGTCGGTGCTCATTAAGTTATCACGGTTATCCCTACATACCCAACGGCTGCCAAGGTAATGTTCCTTCCTCATCTCTCCTGTGTATATTTAAATGTATATACATGTATTAAAAGAAAAGTTGTGTTGCATTAATTCCGTCTTTGAGCATTGTGATCATCTCAACAGATAAAACTTTCACACCATCTCTGTCAAATAATTATTCAAAAAAATGTGGGGATGTTGACATCTTCTTTCCGTTTGGGGTGGAAGAGGGCTGCTACAGAGACCAGTCATTTTTTCTAACATGCATAAGGGCAACTGAGCCTCCTACTCTCTCCTTCCAAGACTACTACGTAGTGGTGAATATGTCGTTGGTGGAAGGGACTTTGGCAGTCAAGAAAAAAAAATACGATTACTTCTTTTCCTTCGCATACAATAATCAACCTTTCATTGGTCTTGAAGAGCTATTCATCTTGAATTGGATAATCACAGACCAGTCCTGCAAGGATGCTAAGCTAAACACGACCACGTTCGCATGTGTCGACCAACACAGCTCATGTAATGACGAGAAAATTAATAGCAATGGCCAGGAAATTTCAGGATATCGTTGCCAATGTAACGATGGTTACGAAGGAAATCCATATCTCCTAAATGGATGTACAGGTACTTCGAACTCTTTCCCTCCCTCTTTGATACGAAGAATATTAGTTGTATAAGCAGCATCTACATATAAAATTATCTTTCCGCTTTCACAGGCTTCTTTTTTCTTTTTTGCAATGATCTTCTAAAATTTCCTTCTCAAGCATTGCTAATATTTTTGATGAATTGGCAGATATTGATGAGTGTAGCTTTCCCCAAAAATATGTTTGCTATGGAACTTGTACTAACACGATGGGCAACTATACTTGCACATGCCCACCTGGGTCGTCCGGTGATCCTAGACAAAGAGCCTGCATCCCTGACAAAAAGCCGACTCTTGTGTTAGGCAAGTCCTCGATACCAATTAACACGGTAGAGGGTAAATGCCATCGGCAAAGCTAAAAAGAGTCGGGGAAAGCTAAAACTTTGTGTGTTAACGTGCAGGTGTCATCATCGGCGCAAGTAATGGCGCGGGCTTATTGCTATTGAGTACGAGTTTGATCATCCTAAGGACGAAATGGAAGAAAAGAAAACAAAAGAGAATAAGAGAAAAACACTTCCGTCAGAATCATGGTTTACTGCTACAACAACTCATCTCTTCCCGTGAAGATGTTGCTGAGAGAACAAAGATATTTCCTCTTCAGGAGATAGAAAAGGCAACCAATAATTTTGATGAAACTCGAGTGCTCGGTCGTGGAGGACACGGAACAGTTTACAAAGGGATTCTGTCGGATCAACGCGTAGTCGCCATAAAGAAGTCAAAGATTGTGAAGAAGAGCGAGATAGATCAATTCATCAATGAGGTTGCAATTCTTTCTCAAATTAATCATAGAAACGTGGTAAAGCTTTTTGGTTGCTGCTTGGAGACTGAAGTGCCCTTATTGATCTATGAATTTATCTCAAATGGTGCTCTTTCGGACCATCTCCATACTTTAGATGGTAGTTGTGTATTGTCATGGGAAACTCGTCTGAGGATCGCTGCAGAGACTGCAGGAGCACTTGCTTATTTGCATTCGGCTGCTTCGATATCTATTTTACACAGAGATGTTAAATCATCGAATATTCTCTTGGATGATCACTTCACAGCAAAAGTATCAGATTTTGGGGCTTCAAGATTTATTCCACTTGATCAAACTCATATAGTTACTGCTGTTCAAGGTACCTTTGGATACTTGGATCCAGAGTATTATCAAACAAGTCAACTGACAGAGAAGAGCGATGTTTATAGCTTTGGGGTCATTCTTCTGGAGCTTTTAACAGGAAAGAAACCTATTTTCTCCATCGAGCATGAGAACAAACAAAACCTGTCAACATATTTTCTTCAAGCACTGAAAGAGAAACGTTATTTTGATCTCGTGGAGGATCGTGTTATGAAAGAAGAGACTAAACAAGACCTTATGAAAGTTATTCAACTGGTAGCAACGTGCTTGAAGTTTAAAGGAAGCGAAAGGCCTACGATGAAAGAAGTGGAGTATAAACTACAAAGCCTAAGAAGGATGAAGAAGAATGCAGACAATCATATTGCAGAAGGTAATGAAGAAACTAAATGTCTGCTAAGTGATTCATCATATACTTTGTCTATTTCAGTTGACCTAGCAACCGAAGGGACATCTAGGAATTATAGCTTAGAAAAAGAAATCTTGTGGTCAGATTATAACCCACGGTGAGTGTGTTTTATATTAATATTTATATTTATTTGTATTGGCAATATAACAAAATGCATCTTATGCACGGGTCATTATGTCGTGTAGTCATCATGTGGGAATGTTATGTCGTAAATTTTTATTCCAAATAACTTCTGGGATTGTTAGGGACGGGTATTGCCATTGGCATGTTTGTATTTTATAAATGCTCATATATGTTCTCAGGTATATATATATGTTCATAATATATATAGCTTGTTTACTTATTTGAATTTGTAGTATTAATAACAGTTATGATGATGATACTTATAAAATGCTTATTCTAGCAATTAAATACTAGTTTCACGGATATAAGAAAATAACTGATGATACAACACTCATCGTTGCTCTTTTTTGGGCCATGCCAAAGGAGGGGCATCTTTATGATGATGATTAGTATTCTTCAACATCAAATTATGGAGAATCAATGGAAAACATGTGCTTTCTTTGATAACATTTGCGTATACTCACTGATAGTTTCATTGGTAGAATCTAAATGGGTTCGGTCATATATTGCTCTCGGGATGTACTTTTGTAGTTGCAGATGCACGTCGTGTCTTCGACTCTCAACAACGGTGGCATTGATTAGACTTGAGGAAAACAAGGGGACATGACTGTTGCTTTTATCAGTTCAATATCCTATTATTTTCTTTACAAGGAAACGTGTTAAATATTTGTCACACATTATTGATTAGTTAAAATTGTCATGTTATTGTTGACTGTAATGGCTCCAATGTACCATATTGATGTCAAAATCACGAAGAAAGAGACTAAAATTATAACGGGTCAACTAATAGTTTTAATAGTGGATGCCAACTTTGACAATTTAAATAAGCTTAGCATCATTATATTGATAAGACCCTAAAATCTTATCATAGGCTCTGATACGAAATGATAAGACCCTAAAGTCTTATCGTAGGCTTTGATACGATAAGACTCTAAAATCTTATTGTAGGCTCTGATACCAAATGATAAGACCCTAAAGTCTTATCGTCGCTCTGATACCAAATGATAAGACCCTAAAGTCTTATCGTAGGCTTTGATACCAAATGATAAGACCCTAAAATCTTATCGTCTATGAAAGAGGAGAAATGGGGATGATAATGATCGCTTCGAGGGGATCGACCTCCTTGATCGTTTCGAGGGGATCGGCCCTCCTTGATCACTTCGAGAGGATCGGTCCTCCTTGATCACTTCGAGGGGATCGACCTCCTAGGATTTGTCAAAAGACAGAATAATATTTTTCATAGATAACTGAAAAGAAGCAGTTACATCCATATTTATAGAGTTCCACCTAGAGTCCATCAGGACTTGAACTCTAATAATAAATAAATATTAAATAAACATCTACTTGATTCAAACTGAACCAAACCGACTCAATAGACAACTGGATTAAACAGACTCAATAAATATTATTCAAAAACTCAAAAAATGGGTCTTAACGATGATTTTGGAATCATCAGTTTTGATTTCTTGAAATCAGGAATCGGAACC